GGTAGTTTGAACTGGTTTAGTGTCTTTATCTAGTTAAACTACATTTTTCCTATTGAGAAATGGCCATTGCTTCCAAAGATAAAATTTTTGAAGATGGTCCATCTTCATGTGTGTGAATTAACTATATTGTTTTAAACTCCATGCGGTTTATAAAAAACTGATTCTAAACAGTCCTGAATCCTTAGATTTACACTGAAACAGTAGCAGAAGGGCAAAGACATTTATCTCGTTCCTATGGATTTTTTGTTGAAAAGGATGGAAAGGTAATATCAAGTAAAACTGGCAATTCAGCTTTAGATAATTGTTTTATCTGGTCTTTATTAATAAAAAAACATATAATCAGGCAATATGATGACACAGATGATCTCTGCATCTATCCAGTTACACAAATTTATATTTCTATTAGGTGAATGAATGAAGATAGTTGAGAAAACTAAGTAATGGTAATGTTTATGCTTCAGGCTATATGGCTATATTTTGTTGTGGAAATAGTCTAGTTTTTCCAGATCTCTTAAGAAAAATCTTACTCCAATTTATTTTCTTCCTGATTATGTGCCACCTGAATTTTTATTTATATTTTTAATAGGAAAAGATGTTTCAAGTTCTGTAGGATCTGTTTGGGCTTTTCTATGTGTATTTTTACTTCACTTTGCTTCACTATTTTCCAAACCACACCAAAACACCAAAATACTAAAATTTAATAATATACATCATTTAGAAAGGAATCTTTCACGGCAAATGTATGCTGAGATTTCTTAATGATCAGTTACATTTCTTCTGAATGTGCTCCAGCATCTGTTGCTTGTGAGCTTCCATGGCTGTTTGTTCATAGAGCAGATTGTTTTTTTATTTTAGGTGAGTCTGTTATCACTGGTCTGTGTGGCAGTGGCCGCAACGAGTGAGCTGCTATTGAGAGGCCAAGGTGGCTGGGGGTCTTTTGGGGTGACCAGCAGTGAGGTGATTTCCTCTGGTGCCAGGGCAGCCATCTGAAGGGCAGCAGGAGACAGGGAACAGGATTCTTCTTGCTCTATTTATAATGGTTTTGATCTCAGCTGTTCATCTTTTCCCCATTAAGTTCTTGCACATAGTACTGGTGAATTTGGCTTCCATGCTGTTCACAAGTAGGAAGGTATTTGAAGATAGTATTTTTTTAGCTATCTCGCTACAGTTTCTATTTACTAATCACTAGTCTGTCTTTCACCCTATATCAAAGGACCATGGGAAATGGTAAAAATTATGACATTAAAAAAAAATATATATATATTTCTAAAAACGGTTGCAGGTAAAATCTGTGGAGCTACAGTCTGAGCTCAGTGAAAAAGAAAGTCTGATAAAAATAATTTTTGCAGCAAAAGTGCACACTGCATAAGAATTGCTAGGTGCAAGGATAGATGTGTGTTACTGAAATGAATGTCCTCATGGTGTATGCTCCCTGTGTCCTGGTCTCCTGGCAAGGCCTTGGGAGAACAAGCAAATACCATAGCTCTTCTCCTGCCAGCAGGGTTAATGAGAGGGAAGCAAGGCTGCCGGTGCCCTTCCAGACATCTTCCCAATGTAATATGTAGCAAAGCCTGAGGTATGTCTGGCTCAGGACCTTTCAGTGCTTGCTGGTTGTGGTTTTAGACATTGTCACAGTATAGTTAATGTTCCAAGAAGCCTTTGGCAAATTTCCACAAAAAAGCATGTAAGGAAACAAAGCTATGAGTTAAGATGGAAGATTTTTCCTGGATTAATGATTGTTTAATAGAAAACAAAGGGCAGGGCTAGGATTAGGTTTAAAGTTAGCTTTTGTACTGAAAGGAAATTACCAATGAAGTCACACGTAGATTTGTCCAGATAGACACATATTCTCATTCTTCTGTTGTTCAATATATCCATGAGGACTTACAGAAAGGAATTGATTAATGAGGTTGTAAAGTTTGTCATTACTGCAGAACCACTGGTGCAGAATATATCTAATGTTCATCCACAATTTAGGTATTGCATGCGGACTTGGTAAACCACTTAAAAAGTTGAAATAGAGCTTGCAAAGATACCCCTCACCTTAGTGTCAGTCAAGATGGCAGCCATCACAGTGATACTGGATAGGATTTTGTAACTATTTCAGCTCCTTGGGTGCGGAGCAGGGTACTAATGAGAACAGACACTTTAGTTCTTCACAGACTGCACTAGAAATCCTGATAAAACATATGTTAAAACAGTCACACAACACTGTGTTCGTGGGACTTCTAAGCATGTTTCTTTCTTTTCAATTAGGTGTTTTGTAATTTCTGCTGATTTTTCTGCAAGCTCCTTTGATTATACTTAGTGCAGCCTTGATGCAGTGCTTGAATTGCTGTATCAGTGAGATTTGCTAAAATAAATCACACATGAATTGTAGGCCATTATCTATCATTAACTCATCTAGAATTTCATGGCAAAGTAAGTGCTATGTGTGATGTGTTTTCTCAATTGTTACTGGCTGTGTTGCTTTAGTATAGCAGAATATGGTTGATAGTAAATTCACATGCAGTTTAGATATATGGAAACCAGTTTTGGGGGAAGAATGGTTTTAATAAATACCTGGTAATATTTACAATTATTTAAGTTTTTTCAGTTAATTTAGAGATATTTAAATTAGAATTTATAATGCTTTTTTTTTTTTTTTTAGCAAACACAAACTCTTACCATCATACTAGTCTAGGGAACACTTAGGACTAGGGTCAGATTTTCATGCATCAAAAGTTGCAATTAGATATTTATTAAAATACATTCTACCTACTTTATGTGCTATGTGTAAACTGATCATCTTGTCTGCCGGCGAACAGAAGAGTGATCAAAACCATCACAAATAGGTGTGGTTGCTAGTTCTCTTTCCTTTCGAGAATGAACATTGTTGCGGTGTGTTTGTGTGTGTGTGTGTGTGTGTGTGTGTAGGAGGAAATTTTGGTTTGGAGAACTTGCTGCACTAGATACCTGCTCTTATTCAGCCTCTTCTGAATGGCAGCAATCCTGTTCTTCCTTCCCTTTTTTATTCTTTCAATTGAGGATATTTTTCGGCTTGCTGGTTCCCAGCAGAGTGAGGCCAACCATTATCAAGAACCATGGATTCTCTAACTGCATATTTGCATCTTAAGGTGCCTGAACATTTTAAAAATCTCCACAGTTCCTTTTTGTGGGGATATTTGATCTTCTGCTGATTTATGTTTTGTGGATACTTCTTCTTTCAGTTTGTCCATTGATACTTTGTTGAGAAGATGAGTTGTAAACTGTCCTATGTGTACCATCTTTCATAGTCTTTGTGTACCACCTTTAGTGTTTAGAACTGGTGAAGGCAGAATGTTCACTGTGAAAGGAACATCGGCAGAGTGGTATATCTCAGTGTTTCTTCTAATCTCTGTTTGTTTCATCTCATCTCAGTTAATTTTCTGAAGACTAAATACTGCTTTGCTTAGTGTTTTCTCTACCATGTCTTCCAATCATGAAAAGACTGTTTTCACTAAAATTATTGGGAGCCTATAAACAAACTAGTAAATATTTTTATGGCATAAAACAATAGCAGAGTTTCCTTTTTATGGCATAAAAACGCTGAAAATATTATTTTCTTGGTCTGACAAAAAATTTATTATCTTTTATCAGACTTGCATTCCATGTTGAAGATTGTCCTCAGACTCATGAGCTCCTATTTCTAAACTTATGTTTACTTCTGGGTTGAAGTTTGTCTTTTCTAATTCTCCTTTTTACTATGAGTACTAGATAGCTTTCTTCATCAGCTTGTTTGAAAAAATTGTCCTGAATGATACATACTTTTTAAAGACTAAAAGCATTGTGTCCTTTGTCCCTTAGTATTGCAATATTGCTATTGTTGGAGATGTAGTGCTGTTTTGTAATAATTTGCACGTTTTGTGTGTGGATTTGGTTACTGAATTGTATACATTATGACTACATTCAATTAAATATTACAAGTTTATTGTGTGATCATATTTGTTTAACTTAATGTAGATATGTTGGAAAATCAAGAACAGTGGCTTGATTTTCTGACCTACTAACATTTTTCATAGAATTAATACCATTTTCTTTTACATATTTTTGATGAACAATAGTTTCAGCAACGAATTTGTCAGAGTGAGAGGTAAGAGTCTCTTTTCATTAACTCAGGAAAATAAAAGCTTAATAAGACTGTAAAGAGTAAGGAACAAGAGGATTGATATAAAAGAGTAGCAGAATGAAAAGTTTCAGGAACTTGAGTGACTTGTAAGGTGAGACATGATTAATCTCATCTAGAGATTGTAAAAAAGCTTTTTAATCATTCTGCCCCTCGATGGTCACAAGTCTCCAAAGAGAAAAAAAAGGTTAATCTTGTTGTCTGGTTGGACAGGTGGAAGGCACTGTACTGTAGCTCTGGACCTAAAAGGCTATTGGGTGGAGAAGAGACAATGGAAGAAATGGATGTAAATGAGAACCTGGTTTTGGTGTTGCATCTAACTATTGTTAGAGATAGAAAATTTCTCATTTGCTAAAGTTTTAAAGAACCTTTTAAACTTTAATTAACACTTTTTCTTAATTCAATAGCATTTTCTTCATTTTGACAACCAGTTGATCCCTTGTTTTTCATTTTTTACTGTTTTGTAGATGCTTTTTCAGAAAGTGTATGTATTAATCAAATTTTGGACATAGCCTAATAGTTACTATTCTTGCCAGATCTTTTCGATGATGTTTCTGTAATGACTAAAGAATGTTTACAAAATTCTGGAAGTTTTCTTTTAGAAATTCCTGCTATAAAATGCATATGTTGCAACTTCTAACTTATCAGCACATTTCCTTAAAGATAATGGGATTGCATTGAAACAGGACCCTATCTAAATATGTGCATATTTAGATATGTGCATTTGCATAACGTCCTAACTTCCTATATAAACAAAAGTTTTTTCTCTCTCTCTATATATATATTTTTTGAAAATGAAACTGTAATGTAAATTTATAGACATTAATTTTTCTATATATTTTGTTAATTTACAGCATCCAGAAAAATTGGTATTGATTTTCATTTTGGAAACCAAAATTATAACTACTAATGTGACTATATTTGCTTATCCAAGACCTCAGTGCCAGCTATTGCTATTAAGATTAGGTAAAGTACATGTTGGCTATATTTTAACTATGAGTTTTTAGAATAGTTTAAACATGTAGGTAAACAAGCCACAGTATATATAGGCAGTGTAGGGTTTTTTTAAAAGGTCATCTGTGTAAGTTCAGCCACAAATAACTTTTTTGTTGCCAGTCGTCTTGCTGATATTATTTATGTTATGAAAATTCTATTAAAATATATTAAAAACGTTTTCATATTTTTTATGACTGGATAATTCAGACCACATTATTGACACTGTTTTGTGATTTATTTTTAGCTTCTTTCTTCATAAATGTCTTCTAAATTTAGGGAGGCATAAAGTTGACAAAAAGCTACATATGTTTTTCCAACCCTCTTCCAACTGCCTGACTTTGTCAAGAGTGTAAAATTATGTAGCAGAGAGTAAAATATGGTTTAAGCAAGATTCAATCATCCTGAAAGGCACTGCTTTGTTTTGTGTTTTGGTTTACTCCCATTATTTTTTCTTCTTCTTTTTTTTTCTTTCTCCTCTATGTGTCCATGTTTTGTTTCCCCCTGCTTTTAAGCAAAATTATGTGATTTATCATAGTGCTTTACTTTGAATCCTAGCTCACTGAAATAATTCAACACATAGCTCTTTTTTATTATGCTTTTATTTCAGCAAGCTGACTTTTTGCACAATGGGATAGTGTTTGGACACCTGAAAATTCAAATGAAAAGGAGAACTTTTACTTGAGTAGTTTTTTACCAACTTTTCTAAATAATCATGCTATTTGTAGAATTTTGACAATTTATATACATTTTCTATATATCGGATGCACTTGCTTGTGCAAACACAACCTGTTGTATGTTTTGCTTACAATGCTAATGCAGCATATCACATGTTATCTGGGTCACATCACTTATGTGTAGTGATGAGTAGTTGCTACTTTATGGCCCAGCTTCCACTTTTGTGTATCTCATTCCAGTTGAAAGATGATAGATACACAGGGCTCAATGTAGAGAAACAACCCCCTGCTGAAATCTGCAGTAAAACCAATCTGATAAAAGGCTTACCAAAAGAGTGAATATCTCTAGAAAAGTCTAAAGATGAAGAGACCAAGAGAAGAACAAGCAATGCAACAGATTTTAGATTGACATAGAAAAAGTTATAGAACTAATCACTAATCGTGGTATATTATAGTTAGTATAACTTTAATTCGACTGATTATTAAGTATTTTGGGCGGAGAGAGAAGTCCGATTTGCCATCAGATTCACAACTATGTAGTTAGATTTTAAATACCTTTCTTACCACTAAGCATATGTCTACAGTCTCATAGCAACAGCCATAAAATATACCACGTGATGTTTCCAGCTAATTTGGACAGTATACTCAAAGGCTAAGGCACATATTCACATGTTTTAGCACAACCCATGCAAATTTTTCATTGTATCTAACTCACATGCAAGTAATTTGGACTGAATTTGCAAAGCTTTCTTTTCCCCCTTAAAACTGATTTTTCTTTCTGTGAAGGTTTTTCTTTCTTCTTTTTTGCACAGTTCATGTGAATCAGGCTTTAAAACATTGGGCATAAATCTGAGAGTAATAGTAACCATGGATCTGAGGCAGAGGAGAATTAGTAGCAGCTCTAGGTATCAGTGGGTGCGAAGGTCTCTGTCATTAAGGACCACACTAAATAAACATGCTAGAATAGGATTGCTTTATTGCTCTTTGCTCATTTTATGTCATTTTATTGCCTCACTAATGACTATAGAATTAGGTGTGTAAGGGAGGTCTGAAAATGTAGAGCTAAAAGAGGTACATAGACAAGCGTGTGTGTCCTGTAGAGATTCCAGCTTCTCATCGTGGATGATGGAGAGACTAATTTACCTTGCATAGATGAGTGCGGGTAGGGAGAGAGGCAGAGAGGGACCTCAAGAACAGATCCATTTCTGGGCTTCACCCTCACTTTAGTACCCCTGATGATTTCTATGTGCCTTTATAGTCATCCCAGTGGGAGAGACTGTGTCATCTCAAGTAGTGTTTTTTTTTTTCCTCCACTATTAGCCAAATGGTAAATTCCTGATCCAGGGGCTATACATGAAAATACGCAGATAGGAATTTATTTAATATATGTTTAACTGTTGAATAAAGTAGTCTAATTTATGATAATGCCAGAATCAATCTGGCATGCTGGTGTAACAGTATCACTCCTGAGGACAGAAAGTACTGATGGGCTAATAATTTTACTGCTTTCTATTTTGCATGCACTGCAGTTTCCAAAATCAATAAAGAATGTAGTACCTCAGCAGACTTACAATTTAGACTGTAAGAATCTCTGTTCTTGACTAAAGTCCTGTTGTATCTAAATAAGGGGAGTTAGTTTCATCCTTGGTGTTTAGAAGTGATTTTCTGTGTTGTCACTTTCTTTCAAGGGAAAGTACGATGTATTACCCATAAGATTTTGAGTAATGTAAAAGGCAAAGCAAAGAATGCTGCTGAAGCAGGTGGATATTTTTGAAATACAAAAAGCTAAAAATGGCATGCTTTTATTTGGATCTTAAGATCATGAAATTATATTTGGGGTACAGAAGGCAAATTGTCTTTCAGAACTTTATGAGTGACCAGTGCATATTTTGTTTGGATTTAAGACTTGCTCATAAATGCATAGACTACACATACATAAGAATGCATAGAATTAATAGGCAACATTGAAATAAATATATATAAAGCAATAAATTGGTAGTGCCTGTCTAGATAAAGCTTAGCATTTAAAAGGGCAGTTCACCCCACCCAAGAAAAGTCAGCAAGGCTGCAAGAGTTGTAAAGTAGTTCTCAAGGTTACTACAAAATGTCCCTTTGTTTCTTTGATGCCTTCATCCTTTTTGAAATGCTGTGCACACAGTCAAATTAAAATTGTTTTTCTTTCAGGCTTTCTACTACAAATCCTGTTTTACTATGTAGTTTACCCAGTTTACCTAAACATTAGTCATCCAAAGAGCAGGGGATCTTTTATTCATATGCTTCTATGTCAATAGAACCACAGCCTTAAAAACCATTTTGTCTTCTATTCCCTACATGTAATCCTTCCAGATAGTATTTCAAGACATTTTATAAATTCTATGCTTTTTTACTGTACAAGTGGAAGAAAATCTGGCATCAATGTTGTCTGATGACTTAAGCATTTTCTTTAATCTTCAGAAATGCCTTTATACCTTGAATGAAAGCACTGTATTCTCAACTTTTATAATCCAAATAAGAATTTTTTTTAGGAGCATAGTTGGTTTGCATTGCAGGTAGTTTAGCATTTATTTTACTCTTATTGGCTGCAGGTATTACCTAGAAATGAGGATGGAAACACAGCCTAGGAAATCAGCCTTTCCTCATCTGTTTCTGAAGAACTGAAGTGTCTGTGCTTTGTTGTTTTCTTTTCTGAGTGTAAGTAAAGTTTTGCTGCATGCTTCACTAACCTCCTTGCTTGCTAGAGACAGTATCATTGTCTGTCCTATCTGAACATGCCTCTCACTCAGAAACTGACAGCCATTTAGAGATGAATCAGTTGTAAAGCTCATGTGCTTCTGAAAGCAATATAAATACCTATGAATTTGGAGAAGCTGGTGGTAGGTTGGTAGAAGATATGCACACCCCAAAAATTTTTGCTGAATTGTATCATTATTTTGTCCACCCAAGGCTGTGTGTACTCCTCATCAGGCAATTGTTCCCTCATCATATCTTATTATTTTCTCCAGGTCAGATTTTCCAATATCGTTTGGGCAAAAGTTGGAAGACCTGTGAGTAACTAGTTACTTCTTTCTTTTTTTCAAATTGGTATGCTTTAGTCAGCTAATTAAGGACTTTACAAGTCCAACATGTATTGACCATGAAGACGTTATACTTGAAAGCTGATGATTTTTTCTACTGATTTCATTAGACTTTGAATGATCAGAGATTCTTCAGTTCTGGGCCTTAAATATACATCACTTGAAAAAATATTCTTCTCCTTTCCATTTGTTAAGTGAATTCTACCTTGAGTGCTTTCCTCTGTACCCCAGTAAGCTTCACGATTCTTGCTCCTTTTTACTCAGAAGCAGCTTGTGTTTTGAATTCAGTCCCACTTGGTTCATCATGACTTTTCTGCAAATTTTTATGCTTAATAACACTACTTTTGCTCAATTTGTGCAAACATATTTTGGACTTGTTACAATTTGATTTTCTGTCAGGGATAGTTCCAAAAAAGAGAAAATGATGGGCAGAGGAAATGATGCTAGTGTATATCTTATTTGCAATTCTAATAACAGCAGCTTTGTGAATTTGAACACATTAGTAAAGAGCACTTCATTCAAGTGCATATTACCACAGAACTTACTAAACATGCCTAAGAATAATGCTATTCCAATTTGGGCAAATTAGATGGATAACATCATTTACAGCAGTTGTTAATTAGGCATCAGCTTAATCACAGCATAATTCTGTTAATTGCTTATCACAATGGGGTTAACTTTCTGTCATTTATATTTATTTAATTTTTAATTAGAATGATACACTTGATATTTTTCACTGGCCACTTTATAAAAAAATAGTCATGATGTAAATGTTCAGCACGATAATACTCGAAGAGATCTCCTGAGTCACCAATTTGGCTGACATCACCAACCCATATAATTCCTTTCATAAATTTCTCTCCATGTCTTTAAACTAGTTAGGTTCCTCGCCTCTGCTGCCCAAATGGAGGTTTGTTGCAGTGCCATAACCCTGACATGTTTAGAAGCTTTCCACTTGCCAGCCTCAAATTTATGCCTTTGTTCTTATGGCAGAATTGTTTTATTGTCTAAATAAGTTTTTCTCCTATGTAGCTTACAGCACATGATTTATTTGTAGAATAAACTCCCTCTCACTTTTCACTTCCCTGAGATGGGCAAACCAACTCCTTTTAGCCTCCTTCAGTAAGATCTACATTCTTGTGCCCTGAACATGGCTGGCAAGCCATTAGTGCTCCTTAATTCCAGCTGTAATGGCAGCTTTTAACTCCACTTCTCGTGTAGATGGAAACAGAAATGCCATTCACTGTCAGATGAATGACAGATAGCAGGAGGTGTAGATGACTTTTGCTGGCTGTAGGAAATGAGTCCAGAAGTGATTGTTTGGCTTCTTATTCTGGCTAAATTATCAGATATGGCAGTGTCTTAATTACAACTGTTTGAGACATCTAAGTAAATTTTTTCAAACCAAGCCCATCATGGTAATTTTATTTATGTATACACCTGAAAAATACGTAGTGCTATTAATGTTAGTAATTTAGCCTGGGCAAGATAGAAAGTTGTTGTGATTCTTAGGGAATAAATTTTTCATTGTGAATTGTAATACTGGTAAACAACTGGAGAACAATCCTGTACTGAGAAGAGAATTAGAGGACTAGCTAGGAAAAAACTGTGCTGTGAACCAAAGAGTCTTGGTAGACAGCAAGCAGAGCATGACCCAGCAGTGAATCCCAGGAGAAGAGGGCCAACAGAATCCCAGCCTGTATTAGCAGGGCTCTGGGAAATTATTATTTCCTTTTACTCAGCACTTGTTAAATTACATCTAAAATGGTGCATCTTTGCCCACTTGCTGCCTTCTTTCTGAAAGGAAATAAATGGATTAACTGAAGAAAGTTCAGTGGAGGGCCACCAAGATGGTAAAGGGCTGATGCACCTGACCAGCTGAGGAGAAGCTAATAGACCAGAGTTGTTTCAGCCTAGAGATGGCTTTGTGGGAGACACCCTCACAACAGCCTCTGCTACCTCAAGGCTGTTTGTGAAAAGATGGACTTTCACTGTGGTACAGGTAAGAGGGCTATGATGGCTAAGAGGACTAGAAGTCTATAGAAGTAAGTTGAAATAAAAGTATTTCAGACTGAATGTAAGGAGAAGAATTCCCATTGTGAGAACCAGGGGACACCAGGTCCAGTAGGAAAACGGAATACCCAGAGAGGTTAGGCAGTCTCCATTCTTCAAAGTATTTTTGGATATGACTATTTTAAACCCTTAGCAACCTGATGTGACGTGCATTGAGAAGAAAGTTGAACCTGAAGATCTCCTGAGAACCTTGAAGTAAAGGATTAAGCATGTATTCAAGATTCCTTATGTCAATAGTAGTATTTGATTGGGTTCTTCCTTTTGGACTCATAAAACTTGCTAATGGATGTTACACAAATACCCAGTCATTTAGTTCTGTCCTGTATGTCTTCTTTCTTGACTGGGTTTTATATTCAGATCCCTTTCAGAAAATACCTCTTGAAGTAATATTTTCTTTCTAATTTTAATTTTACTTCTTTTTTTCCTTTTCTTTTTCTTCCTTCACTTCAAAACAATGTAATACCACAGTCTGCTACAATATTACTTTAGTCATTTTAATTCCCTTCAGTCTTGGAAATTAGCAAAGAGCCCAGTATCCTTTCACCTTTGAGTATTTGTATTTCTCTCCTAAATAATGAAAAATATGACTTATAAGAAAGATCAAACTGGTTACAGAAAAGATTGTGTCTTTGTGTTTTTTTAGTATTTAGTATTTTTAGTATCCAATGATTCTGAACACTTTGGATTCCTAAAGTAATTACTTCGGCCACACTTCCCAGGAATGGTTGGTTTTCAGATATTTTTAAACTGTTCCTTTCACGATAACAAAAGACAACAGTACTGTGGTTTCAGTTGTTTTTTTTTTCCCAAGAACACTATGTAGATCAAATGAGACAAGTCACATCAGTCTTCAACTGGAAAATATGATGTTTCCTATCCCTAAGATGTATTATATGTAAGAAAAAAAAAAAAAAAGTAAGTGTAACAAAGAAGTTCCAGTGTTGTTCAGAGTTTAACTTACTCAAAAGCCCAGGCAAGCCCAAGTTTTAGCAAGAAGTGCCATCTTTATTAGGCCAGCCAGGACTTTCACTTCAAACAGCCAACACTGCTATTCTTTTTGGTTCAGCTGTTATGTTGTTGATAGATTTAGCAGTCATACACTACAACTGCTAGACTCTGACTGTAGACCTTACATCACTTTAAAAAGAAAATCATGTTAGTCCTATTTTCTACTCACCTGCAGATTCTGAAAGTTTTCAAATAGCTTTTTCGTTGTATGTGTAATCTACTTGAACATAAATAAGACACAACCAGTAGTGAAATTTCTGTCACCTAAAGTGATCTTTGTTTCCTTGCATACAACTGCTACTGACTCAGCTTTCCAGATTCCTAAACAAATAGTTATTTTTAATTAGGACAGTCTTTTCTACTGCTTCTTTTCTGAAGCTGAAGGACTACATTTTCACAGGAAGTTACTTTTGCCATTCTCGTAAATCAGATAGGAGTATTTAAATACTTATGTGTTTTAAATGCCAATTTATTAACAAAACTCACTTATCAAAAGTGGACTGTCACCTTAGATATTTTCTCACGTGTCTAGTTAAAGCAATGTTATCTAGAAGATTAATCAACTTCAGGTGTTGTCAGGGCATTTAATCAGTAGCAAGTACAGTTCACAGCTGCTTTTTCTCCTTAATCAGATGAAAACATGTGTATTTTTACTGCATTGTTTTAGAGAAGACTCCAAAACTTTGGAGTGCAACAACTTTTATGTGTCTTCAGAGATAAATTTAATGAATCTGTTGTGATTTCTCCTTTTTATTAAAGTAGAGTATAGCTTTGAGAAGGCAGCCTAACTTCAAGCTGTTCCTGTGACTGTGTATGTGCGTCACAGTCCTGGCCCCAGGAGATGCATCTGAACAGAGTCCCAGCAAGGAGGGGAAGTGACCCATGTCTTCTGCATACCTTGTATTTCTGGTTGTCAGGCCAGAAGAGGTATCAGCCCGGAAAAGAACCTGTATGCTTTGTGCACTTTCTAAAGAAAATTATAGTCCTATCCTTTGGTCATGGGGATTTTGGGTGCCCATTAACAAACCAGAAGTGCAGGCAGGACCATGCATGCAGGACAACTGTCCCCCATTTAGATATAGTAACTTAATATTTTTTTTGTTGCTTTCTGAGGAATGATCTTCATCTAGGTTATTTTTAGTTTGTTTTTTAAGTCTGATTCTGTTAATCCTCAATTGGTATAATGCATCATTTTATGATTTCACATATTACCACTTTTGTGAAGTTGGCTTACTCTTTTCTTGAAGCTCACACCCTCTGAAATTATTTTAAGTTGGTGAAAACATTAATTATTGAACTAGGGCATGAAGAATATTTTTTTAAGATATAAAGGATGTTTTCCTAGTATTAGTAAGCTGTAGCAGTTGTGCCACATGATATATTTTCAGTTTTGGGAACATGCTCCAGTGGAAAGTGTAGGAGGTGGGTCTCCATCCAGGCTCTCCACCTTCAGCTCTCTTCTCAGATTTTGGGGAGACATTTGTGTACATTCACCCCACCTAACTCTAGGTGTTGCAGTTGTTTGAGCACTTTAGTTAGACAACTAGTGGGAAGAAATGGAGATGATTCTGTTCTTTTAACCTCCTGTTAAAGATAGGTTTGAGGAATCTGTTTAGATGTGCCTGCTTCTGATCATTATATGCAAAGGGAATTGAATGTTTGGTTTGCGTGCAGGCAACTGTATTGTAGACACGTGGACTCAAGTGTCATAAACACTATCTTTAGTTGTCCTTTGCCTCATTTCTCTGTTTATTGAAAGGTGACTATAGTTTGTCCCTCTCTCACAGATGGGGAAATAATCTTACCGATTGCAAAGTTCTCAGATAAAATGATGGAACCTTCCTACATGAACACATTAGAAACAAGGAATACAGCCATATGAATATTGTTCAGGTCCAGAAAATCCATGCAGACCCAACTGTTATCTATACTATTGGAGGTAAACTTGATCGTGTAACCTACATTACTGAAGTTACATGTATTTTTTCATATTCTATCTTGCATTGTGTTTTTATGCATAACTGCACTTATGACCATTTCTCAAAGTTTCCTCTTACCTCCTCTTAAGATAGAAACTAATTAAAACCTTACTAGACCACTTCTCTCATATCTTCCATTCCAGTGAATTTTTTTCCTGCTCAGCTCAATCAGTGTTCTGGCTTCATTACTTAAAAGAAATGTGGCCCAACTTATTTTCTAATTTTTATCATCAGCCTTTAAAATGGACTTCTACTGATTTTGAGCTTGTTAAAGTCACTGTTTAAAATCTGTTGGGAGCAGATATATCTGTACTTCTGTGAAGTCAAGTATTTAATGTTTTGTTCCTACCTGGGAACACACCTAACCTGTTAAATTTAAAGAGATAACCACTGGACAACTGAAGAGCATCTGTATGTGTACAGCAAAGCAAATGCTTGAGCTCTTTCTCCAGAGGATTCACCTTTGTGCTCACTGGGATCTGAATTTTTTTTCCTTAAGTATAGATGTCTCTGCCAATAAAGATATCAGGTGTCCTTCATCTCCCTGATTCTTGAGACAGCCCCATTGTTTGATTTTTCAAGGAGATAGTGTTGTCAGTTCACGTCTGGTGAAAGCAAGAATTACTTTGTTCTCTTAAGAAATAGAATGTAATAATTTTAGGGAGAAGGCTTCCGTAAGACCTTATAGCAGATTTCAGTACTTGAAGGTAGCCTACAAGGAGGTTGGAGAGAGATTTTTCATAAGGACATGCAGTGATAGGACAAGGATGAAAGTATTGAAATGGAAAGACAGTGGGTTTAGACTGGATATTAGGAAGAAATTCTTTACAGTGAGGTTGGTGAGACACTGGAAGTGGTTGAGAAGGCATCCACAGAGAAGTTGTGGATGTCCCATCCCTGGAAGAGTTTAAGGTCAGGCTGGATAGAGCTTTGAGCAACCTGGGCTAGGGGAAGGTGTCCCTGCCCATGGCAGAAGAGTTGGAATTAAATGATCTCTGAGATCTTTTTCAACCCTAATCATTCTATGGTTTTATGGAAATCAAGGTATTGTACATACATGCCTTCCTAGGCTGTGAATTGTTCTAAAAACTTATTTTGATGCATAAAATGGAGTATTTTGATACTTTAAAGAGCTGATATGAAATATGGTTGAAACAGAGACTATGCCTTTATGCATTCTCACTGTTCTTTAGTTCAGGGAGTATTTGAAGTTTTTTTCGATTGTCATAGTTTCACTCTAAACTGTTAGTCTTTAATATGCTGTGAACTTCTCATTAACTCATTTTTGTAGCAATAGCAATTAGAGAACTCTTAAACTAAGCATAGCCATGGTAGTGTCTTTGAAGAGTTAAACTGAGTATATTGACACAACTTTCTTTCTGCAGGAATGTGATGAGTCAGCTTAGGCTCTAGTTAAAAATTTTAATTTTAGACAGAGTAACTGAAAAGAATGGCACTTGTCTGATTATTCAGTTATTTAATTAGCCTTTTACGTAGGACCAAGAGTTATATAGTCACTAGTATGGGCAGAAGTGTAGTGAGTTTGTTTTGAAATGTTATGTAGAATACATAACTCATTCACCAGGGGATAGAATATAGAAATTAGAAGATTTGCTATGATTAATTGATCACAAAGAACAGGAAGATTCCAGGCAAGGCTAAAAAAAAGAATACCAAACAAACCTTGCCTTGATACTGGTTAACCTCTTTTTGAACTCTTTTATTGTGTATGACAAAGGCAAGGGTGTTTATCTGTGGGAAAAAAAATCTTATTATATGGTATTTCTAAGATAACTGTGAGTAAATTGTAAGTTAATTTTATCTAATTAGCTATATAAAACATTGTTTATGAGCAGGTTTGTATAAAACCTGCCAAGAAGGCTTATTAAGAAATTACTAATCACCTGAGGATGACTGAACAGGAGTGCTTAGTCTTGCTTAA